TTTTTAAAATTATGAATCAATAAATAAAACGATGTGAATGTGAACGATTTTCAATAATAAACAATAGAGATAAAACATTCACTACAAGAAAATTGGGTCGGATAATATCGATTTTTTAATATCGCTATCTAAATTGGCTACCTGTGTGTCGAGACTATTGCTACAAAATTTATCACTTAGAGTTGAATTATTGAGAATTTTAATTTGTCCTTATAATCCAGACTGGACAAAATTGTATGACACATTTTTGTGTTATGTTATATATTGTAATTCAAATTTCCCGCCATTATTATTAGTGATGTTGGCAATAATGTTCCCCTATCATACCTATGTATCCGCCATCTTATATTTATGTTTGATTATGAAAAATAACTCTCTTCTTGCTGAACAGTGAAACAAGTAACATTTAAAATAAACTGAGTCATTTAAAGGAAGTATTTTTTATTAGACATTTGGTGCAAATAAAGGCTGTTGCCGGTATAGTACTCGGAAAATTTTGGAAATTGGTAATCTTATAGAATTGCGAATTTCAACTTTGCTACCTCATATTTTCACGGCAAGTCGGCGCCGCCATATTGGAAAAATGGCGTCAAAAAATTGTTTTTTTTTTTAAATTCCTCCTTTTCGGCTCATTGTACAATAAAAGTAGCTACGTACGAATTTAAACTAGATGAAATTTCCTACAATTCATTCAATAACTCAATAATTTTTTTTTGTAAAATCAATAGTTTCATAGTACGGGTGCCCCAAAGTCTTTGCTGCTCTCGACGCCATATTGAATCTCTATTATTATGGTTTTTAGAAAAAAATATTTTTTTAAATAATATATTGATTCTGTTAATAAGACAAGATGTATAATATGTTTTAAATCCATTTTTTTAATATTGATAAATTGTTTTTTTTATTGATTTAAATTTCAATCGATTGAAGCATCTTTTATTAGGCAGGTTGCTGGCTCGTAAAGCAGTGTCACTCCTCCGGAAAATATTCTGATACTGAAATTGTTAACAGTTAATTATGACAAATAGTATTTTTTGTGAAAGATTGCTTCCAAATTATTTAAATGTAAATTTCGATTCGAGTTGTATATTTATAGCGATTTCAATATCATAAGGAAGAGGAAGAATTGTATGGTTCTTCTGCGGAGTCTTCGCATTATATTATTTACGACCGTGTCAGAAAACAACGGTTCATGTAATTACTCTCTCGGATGTTATATATTTATATGTATATATATTGTACGCATAAAACACGATTTATATACATATATATACACAGGAATATATATTCTCTTCAAACATCATACGTGGTCTGTTCAAAAAGTACCCGGAATTACTAATAATTAAATTTCGCGGGTCTGGAGTGTCTGATTGTCAAAAATTTTTTTTTTATTGTGTTGGTATACATGCCCCTAAAGTATGATGAAATTTTCAGCTATATTCACTGTTTACTTTGTCTGTGGTAGTCGCTAAGGTTCGACGTGTTTTTCTGAGCTCGGCGATTTTTACAATGGAAGAATTGAAAAGTCAAAGAATTTGTATTAAATTTTGCGTAAAAAATGAAATAAAGTGTTGCAAAGTGCAAAAATTCACCAGATATGGCTCCGTGTGACTTTTTCCTATTCCCAAAGTTGAAGGAGACCCATGAAAGGACGGCGGTTTTCCTCGATTGAAGAAAATCGCTGAGAGTGCTCAAGGACATATCAAAAAGTGAATATCAAGGGTGCTTCGAAAATTGGAAAAAACGCTGGCATAAGTGTATTATATCTGGGGGGGACTACTTTGAAGGGGACCACATTAATGTAGACGAATAAATAAATATTTTTTTGAAAAAACGAAAATTCCGGGTACTTTTTGAACAGACCACGTATATAATATTCGTCAGAAAACTTTGAACTTAATTTATGTAGTCTCAAAACATACCAGGGCGTCCTGAGTTATGTGGGTTTTCTTAGAAAGCAACTCAATGGTTGTCTTGTCCTTAATTGACATGTTTTTCTTGTATTAGATTTTTGTGTTAGTGACGATATACTCTAAACTAGGTAAAAAAATATATTTTCTTGTATACCATAGCTACAAACCCTCTAAAATATTTTTTGCTGCCAAAATTAAGACCACATACAGATATAATACTAAAAATAATAAAATATAATAAGATATGATATTTGAATCAAATAATTTTAAAATATATTTTGTAGCGGTTAGTATTTAGTAAATTTATTTAAAAAATGTGAAAATTGGCACTAATTTATGAATTCTCCAGAAATTATTGATGTTTTCTTACATGTATTTACATGGGCGTGTCGTGTCAACAACTTCATTCGCAAAGCCTTATAAGTACATGCAATCGATGTACATACATGAACATATAATACATCTTGTCTTATCAGTATAAATATGTTGTACTTTAATAAATCAAATTTTTATACAAATAGAACATCTTTTTTTATTCACTATTATATTTACTACTATCCAGTTAAGGACATTTAGTACATTTGTGGAATTTATAATTGTCAGCTTAAATAGGAACATTGTATACTATAGTCAACTTAATAATTGTTTTTCCATTCTACTATTTTCTTATAAATAATATCTTATAAATAATAACTAAGTTAATTCAATCTTCATCAAGATTTTTTTTAAAATAATTTTGCTAGTGAATTTGGATGACTAATGAGCTCGTTTTTATATTTATGAGCTGTTTTTGTTATTACATCATTTATTATAATTTATTTAATTTTAATATTCATAAATATTTGGAACAGTTTTAAACGTCTGTAAGCTTAACATTATTAAATAAATAATAAAGAATGTAGGGTGTTTTATTTTAAAATTCATTTTCTCATCTATCAATAAGTATATCTTAATAAACTTTACCAAGTAATATTAAATTTCTTAGTAAAGTAGTAAATTACTTAGTGAATTAAAATTTCTTCATTTTTTTGCAACTTGCAACCACATTTTTTAATGTGAGTCCAATTCTGTTTTCTTTTCTTTGAAATGAATAAAAAAATTATTGGATATAATTTTATAAAATATTTCTGCGAAATATCGAAATTGTATTTTATCTCTGGTTACACTTTTAGCACGTTTACCTGTAATATCATAATTTGCCCTATACTAATTATTCATACGATTTTATCTTATGAACGTTTTGAAAATATATATCCAGTGCATCTTCAGCAAATTAATTTTTTTGCAATTATATTTTAATATAAATATAAATGTACATATTACATATAATTTATAATTATATTTGTATTGGTGTGATATTTATTTACTTTGCTGGGACTTTCTCTTTGCGAATATGCAGCGTTTTATATTTGTTCATTTTATGAATCATATATAAATGTTTCTTTTTTCGAGATTTCTCTTATTATTTAATAAGTTTTTTATGGCTTTTACTTTCATTCGACTGAAACATTAAAATTGTGAAATTAATACCAGATATATACATATAGAAACAAATACAAATATATACATGAATATTTTACTAATTATAGTATTAATATACAATTTAATTTGTTTCTTTTTATTACTACATTTATTTCTGTATATAGATTTCATCTCAAATTATTTATATATTTTTTATTTAGTATAGATATTTTTTTTATTTAAAAATATGCATTTGCAAGTTCTCTTATGTAAGAGATATTAAATTTAACAAATTTCAATTAATTAAATTTTCTAGAGACATAATGGACATATTGTCGAAACGTTTATAAAGATAAATTGTTTAATCATTAAATAAAAAATACTTTTTAAAAAATGATATAATACTTATAAATATTAGTTAGTAACAATATAATTAATAAATAAATTATTCATTTGTTCGATTCATTCGTAAATACAATTTTATATTTATTTTTACCTTTAGTAATGAATATAGTAATAAATATATTATACAAATATTATTATGACAAATATTAGTCTCATCAACAATTTGTTTATTGATGTAATAATAACAATAATAATAATTATCATTATCACAAGGTTTAATGTCGATATATTCATTTGTTATTAAATTATAGAGAATAGAAAGAAAACGAGTTTCTAAACGTGATTCACATTCAATGGATATATATATATATATATATATATATATATATATGTGAAATATAAAAGTTTATATCTGCGTGTATCTTTATATAAACATAAATAATAAACAATATTTATTTATAAGTCATGGGAAACCGTTCATCCACGAAATGGCATTGATTAGTGTGAATTATTACACATTATATATATATATGTATATATACATATACATATATATATATACATATATATATATATATATATATATATATAATTATATATACTAGCGAACCCGGCCATGCTTTTCTGTGGCTTTTATTAAAATCTACCGGATTGAAATTTGAATCGATGGATCAACCAACAGTTTAATACTACTGATTTAAATCTTTTTTTAAACTTATATTAATAAAAAAATGAATATATTAAAAATGAGTGAAAGAGCCCATTACAAAATTTATTATAAATAACCAAGTGACTTTTGTAAATGTGTTATGCCCTATATAACCTTTTTATAAATGTGTTATAGGCACATGCTATATATATTGCTTAATTTTTTTTTTGAAAATTGTCCAAAAATATATGGTTTTTGACACTCATTGGTTTTACTGTATTTTTTTTTAAATTTATGATTGTCAAATAAATTACTTTGAATCACTAATAATATAATTTTCCGACTATGTATATAAAAATATATAACATGAAAAGCCATCAAGCAAACTCAAAGCTTTTCGCAATTTTTAACAATTTAGATATTTTGTTTAGTCGAGTCTATTAGAATGTTTCAGAGTTTTGTTTTTAAAACTGTCCAGTGTTTTGATTTTTTTACTTAATTTGTCTTAGATTTTTACTTTTTATTTTCATATTTTTCTGCCATGATCAGAATCTGTGTTCTATAGAATAAATTCGATTAAAGTAGTTTCAATCCATTATATCCATTATAATTTCCTTCATTTCCCGTTTCAGTTCGCGATGACGATGGTGTATTCGCCGACGCCGTCGCCTCCTCCTGCTCCTCCGGTCGCCGGCACGAATCCTCCGCCTCCGTCGTCGGCTCCTCTCGGATCGAACCCGAACGCCTTCGCCCAGTTGTACCAACACCAGACCACCAACATCTACGACACCAATCAGATGATGCAGTCGCCGATTGGTGGACACATGACACAACAGGTAAAGGAATTATTTGAATTTATCGTTATCACTTCTTAGGAAAAAAGAGTGCGCGTAAGGTTCACACGTGATTGAAGTAAAACTTATTTGCTAAGGTACAAGATGGCATTTAAATAATAATAAATACATGATATAACAATTTTGAATAATGTTTATTAGTAAGATGGTAACACTCGTGATGCACACATTTATTAGTGTCGACCATTATACACATTTATATAATGACTAGCAAACCCGATGAACTTCGTTTCGCCACCAGATGGTTTCATGAGAAAGATGAAGAAATCTTTTGTTTGTTTTATATTTGAACAGGTAAAATTTTATATTATTACACAACAGTAATGAATTTATTTCGATTACAAAAATGAAGTGTTTAGTTCAACTTCTCTAAGTAAATGAAAGTGAATCCGCAAATTATCCGTTTCATTGAAGTGCTCTTTGATAAACCACATTTTTTGTTTTTTGGTCTGACGTTAACACAAACAAAGCGGATGGTTTTCCAACTCGTGAACAGGCAACGTATAACTGCCCATGTGAAAAACAATGATTTTCTAAATAATCTGTTTGAAATTTATTCCGCAAACACTAAGCGATTGGCCTTGCGACTTGTTATTGCGAACGTAAGGCGAACTGGAAATTGCAATCGTTTGAAGTCAAACGGAAGACCAGTCAGAATCATTGGTATGTCACCAAATCGCTAGCAATTTTTGATTGAATGGTGAAATTCAGTGCGTGTACATCATATTTCTTGGCGGCAAGAATTGCTCGTTGACTTAACTAAGCATAATTCTGATAATTCTCACTAATGTCATTACTCGAATTTTTAATCACGGTGCTTGAAGTTCCAGCAATTTGCATTAGGGCCCGAGACCTTTCTAACGAATGCAAAATTGTCGAAATCGGTTTGTGCGTTCTGGAGTTAAATCGTCAGGAAGGAAAACCCGATTTATTTTTATATATATGTAAATAAATGATAAATTATATATTTATAATAGCATTAAAAATATGTATAATATTTAAAAATAATAATGTAATTAAAGTCATACTTCAAATATGACATGATCAGTTTGTCATTGCAATTAGCATTTAGAAATGAGCCTTCGTTAGAGAAATGAAGTAATTGCTGATTAATAACTTCTATAATATTCGTACACAGTGGATTATGTTAAACAACGCCTAAACAAATGTGTTTTAGCAACTTCACTCATCATGTAATAATTGTGTTTGAAGAACTTCATGTAATTAAAATTAACATACATTCATTGACTGCTTGTATTTTTATTACTTTTTCGTTGGCGATATAATCTCATTTTTTGAACAGCTGTAATATCTGTTTTGCCTAAAAAACATTTTCCATTTTAATAACTTCAAAGATTTATAGAAATTACGAATAATATAGAAATAATAATCAATAAACTTACATTTAGTACACGGCACAAATGCTTAATTTGTTTTATTATTGTCAAGGAACAAGGCAAAATATTTTTCTGATTCAGGCATTTTTCATTAAATTAAGATTTGTACTACGATGTAACTTTAAAATGTTTATTTATCTATGCCGATTTCCTTGTAGATATCAGTACGCATACAACGACAGATCTCTATTCACTCGACACGACGACTAATCACAATCGACCCGTGTGGAAATGATAAATCGAGAGCGAATGACGAATCATTGGCACTCGACTCTTATCTTATCTTATCTTATCTGCCGTAACGCACTTCCGTTGCATTTGTACGGATTTACACCCTAGTCGCGCCTAAAGAAGTTTTAATTAAAAAATAGAGCTAAACCCATTTGATTTGTCTATTTAGATTCTATATATTTCTTTTTTTCTCCAGATAACATCATCGTCAAATTTCCCTCAAGAAAGAGACGGCTGTGTAGCTCTGTTCTCGAGATGGACAGAAAGTGAACAAGTTGAGTTTGTCGAAAGGCTCCTATCAAGGATGTGTCACCATCAGCATGGACATATAGATGCCTATTTGAAACCAATGCTGCAGAGGGATTTCATCACATTATTACCAAGTAATAATAGTCATCTAATCAATTTTAATAAACCCTCAATGCTCTTGAATTAATTTTTGTTCTGTTTCTTTTAGAAAAAGGCCTAGACCACATTGCAGAGTCCATCCTGTCCTACTTGGATGCAGACAGTCTATTATCAGCAGAGTTGGTTTGTAAAGAATGGAGGAGGGTCATAGCCGAAGGGATGCTCTGGAAAAAACTTATAGAGAAAAAAGTTAGGCACGATTCCACATGGAGAGGGTTGGCCGAGAGGAGAGGATGGATTCAGTATTTGTTCAAACCGAGACCAGGAACTTTGCATCCGAGCCACGCTTTTTATACAGCACTTTATCCTAAAATCATGCAGGTAGGAAATGGAAATATACGTATATATTTATATACTAGACAGTCGGGACAGACGTTGTCCTGTACCCATGTCTACAATTTTTTAATATAATATACTAATATTTTCCGTTTACCTAAAAATAATAATGATTGTTTTAAATTACTCTTCACGCCAAAATGCGTATACATTTATAATACGAGCGATGTTAAATGCGGAACTGCTTTAAATAAAATGAGTCTCAATTCCCGAACACTATATTGTAAATTGAAGTCTTAAACGGTGTAACGTAACCATAACCATAACATTACACTGGTACTTCATGTAGGATTAAATTAATTTAATTTTTTATTATTTGAGATATTCAAAATTGCATCTTAAACTTGTCCTAATCGATATCGTAAGGGCCGAATTGTATGTATTCATATTTACTTTCCCATTTGTTGTTATATAGTGAAATTTTTATGAATTTTAAAAATATTGTGCAAAAATTAGTAAAAGATGCAAAGGAATTATATATTGAAAAAAAAAACTATATTGAAAATTTAATATCCGAATCTTGTGTTGGCGCCCCCTAAGGCGTGCGCTCGTATTTTTCGCATGCATCGCTTTAAAGGTAGGACCGGCCCTGATTAATACTTAATTTCATATTTTAAGCGAATTAATTTGTCATATCCTGTTCATATGTGTATCATTCGATCTGCCATACATATACTGTATTTTATATTATTTTAATTTCTGGCACATCTCAGCTGCTTTTTGGCAATAATAATGTAGACATTTCATTTTTCTTACTCATAATCATAAATTTATTATACATATTCTAATATTTATTATACATATTCTAGACAGGTTCATAAGTAAATTGAAATTTTTGGCAGAAATAGTTTTCATTTGTTTTTAATGCAAACAATGACATGTCGTTTTTTACAATTTTTTCCATTTATTTCTACATTATTGCACATACATCCCAGTACTTTATAATCACATACATCCTTGAAAATTTCCTTAACAAACTTCAGAAAGATTTATCAAAATCCGCATAATCGTTTAGAAGAAGTATGCAGTGAGTGCTTGTAATTTAATATGAACTTTATATAATAGCAATAAAACTCAAATTGATTCTACGTTTTAGTTAGAAAACGTTTGTATGTGAAAAAGAAAGGGCTGTTTTTAGAGTTTTCCCGGCAGTTATTCGATATTTTCTCGCCGTAAGAACCATCCTTGGACTTCAACGAACATTTAAAAAAAAAAAAATTGGCCAAATTGGTCCAGGCGTTGTTGAGTTATGCGCTTACCAACACATTTTGCGATTTATTTTTTTTATATAAGAAGATAAATAAATAATTATATTTATATATTTATTAGGACATTGATAGCATTGAATCCAATTGGCGAATGGGTCGACATAATCTTCAAAGAATCAACTGTCGATCAGAGAACTCCAAAGGAGTCTACTGTTTGCAGTACGATGATACTAAAATCGTATCAGGCCTAAGGGATAACACAATTAAAATCTGGGATAGAAGTACACTACAATGTAATCAGGTAAGAATATATACATAACTAGTTGTGTATGGCATCGTGCCTTAAGTCAAATTGCTGGAACTTTTTGTACCAAAAAAAGAGTGCGCGTAAAGTTCACAAGCGATTGAAGTAAAACTTATGTGCTACTGTACAAGATGGCATTTAAGTAAAAATAAATACATAATATAACAATTTTGAATAATGTTTATTAGTAATATGGTAACACTCGTGTTGCACACATTTATTAGTGTCAATAACCATTATACACATTTATATAATGATCAATTATAAATTATGAATTTATAATACCATTAAAAATATTTATAATGCTTGAAAATAAGAATGTGATAAAAGTCATACTTCAAATATGACATGATCGGTTTGTCATTGTAATTATCATTTAGAAATGAACCTTCATTAGAGAAATGAAGTAATTGCTTATTAATAACTTCTATAATATTCGTTCACACAGTGGATTATGTTAAACAAAGCCTAAACAAATATTGTTTTCGCAACTTCACTCATCATGTATTTGTGTTTGAAGAACTTCATTAATTAAAATTAACATGCATTCATTGACTGCTTGTATTTTGTTTTACTTTTTCGCTGGTGATATAATCTCATTCTTTGAACAGCTATAATATGTTTTGCCTAAAAAATATTTTCCATTTCAATAACTTCAACGATTTATAAAAACGACAAATAATATAGAATTTATTTCAATAAACTTACGTGTAGTACACGGCGCAAATGCTGCATTTGATTTATTATTTTTATTATAATTATTTACGGGGAACAGGGTAAAATATTTTTCTGATTCAGGCATTTTTCATTAAATCAAGATTTGTACTACGATGTAACTTTAAAATGTTTATTTATCTATGCCGATTTCCTTGTAGATATCAGTACGCATACAACGACAGATCTCTATTCACTCGACACGACGACTAATCACAATCGACCCGTGTGGAAATGATAAATCGAGAGCGAATGACGAATCATTGGCACTCGACTCTTATCTTATCTTATCTTATCTGCCGTAACGCACTTCCGTTGCATTTGTACGGATTTACACCCTAGTCGCGCCTAAAGAAGTTTTAATTAAAAAATAGAGCTAAACCCATTTGATTTGTCTATTTAGATTCTATATATTTCTTTTTTTCTCCAGATAACATCATCGTCAAATTTCCCTCAAGAAAGAGACGGCTGTGTAGCTCTGTTCTCGAGATGGACAGAAAGCGAACAGGTTGAGTTTGTCGAAAGGCTCCTATCAAGGATGTGTCACCATCAGCATGGACATATAGATGCCTATTTGAAACCAATGCTGCAGAGGGATTTCATCACATTATTACCAAGTAATAATAGTCATCTAATCAATTTTAATAAACCCTCAATGCTCTTGAATTAATTTTTGTTCTGTTTCTTTTAGAAAAAGGCCTAGACCACATTGCAGAGTCCATCCTGTCCTACTTGGATGCAGACAGTCTATTATCAGCAGAGTTGGTTTGTAAAGAATGGAGGAGGGTCATAGCCGAAGGGATGCTCTGGAAAAAACTTATAGAGAAAAAAGTTAGGCACGATTCCACATGGAGAGGGTTGGCCGAGAGGAGAGGATGGATTCAGTATTTGTTCAAACCGAGACCAGGAACTTTGCATCCGAGCCACGCTTTTTATACAGCACTTTATCCTAAAATCATGCAGGTAGGAAATGGAAATATACGTATATATTTATATACTAGACAGTCGGGACAGACGTTGTCCTGTACCCATGTCTACAATTTTTTAATATAATATACTAATATTTTCCGTTTACCTAAAAATAATAATGATTGTTTTAAATTACTCTTCACGCCAAAATGCGTATACATTTATAATACGAGCGATGTTAAATGCGGAACTGCTTTAAATAAAATGAGTCTCAATTCCCGAACACTATATTGTAAATTGAAGTCTTAAACGGTGTAACGTAACCATAACCATAACATTACACTGGTACTTCATGTAGGATTAAATTAATTTAATTTTTTATTATTTGAGATATTCAAAATTGCATCTTAAACTTGTCCTAATCGATATCGTAAGGGCCGAATTGTATGTATTCATATTTACTTTCCCATTTGTTGTTATATAGTGAAATTTTTATGAATTTTAAAAATATTGTGCAAAAATTAGTAAAAGATGCAAAGGAATTATATATTGAAAAAAAAAACTATATTGAAAATTTAATATCCGAATCTTGTGTTGGCGCCCCCTAAGGCGTGCGCTCGTATTTTTCGCATGCATCGCTTTAAAGGTAGGACCGGCCCTGATTAATACTTAATTTCATATTTTAAGCGAATTAATTTGTCATATCCTGTTCATATGTGTATCATTCGATCTGCCATACATATACTGTATTTTATATTATTTTAATTTCTGGCACATCTCAGCTGCTTTTTGGCAATAATAATGTAGACATTTCATTTTTCTTACTCATAATCATAAATTTATTATACATATTCTAATATTTATTATACATATTCTAGACAGGTTCATAAGTAAATTGAAATTTTTGGCAGAAATAGTTTTCATTTGTTTTTAATGCAAACAATGACATGTCGTTTTTTACAATTTTTTCCATTTATTTCTACATTATTGCACATACATCCCAGTACTTTATAATCACATACATCCTTGAAAATTTCCTTAACAAACTTCAGAAAGATTTATCAAAATCCGCATAATCGTTTAGAAGAAGTATGCAGTGAGTGCTTGTAATTTAATATGAACTTTATATAATAGCAATAAAACTCAAATTGATTCTACGTTTTAGTTAGAAAACGTTTGTATGTGAAAAAGAAAGGGCTGTTTTTAGAGTTTTCCCGGCAGTTATTCGATATTTTCTCGCCGTAAGAACCATCCTTGGACTTCAACGAACATTTAAAAAAAAAAAAAATTGGCCAAATTGGTCCAGGCGTTGTTGAGTTATGCGCTTACCAACACATTTTGCGATTTATTTTTTTTTATATAAGAAGATAAATAAATAATTATATTTATATATTTATTAGGACATTGATAGCATTGAATCCAATTGGCGAATGGGTCGACATAATCTTCAAAGAATCAACTGTCGATCAGAGAACTCCAAAGGAGTCTACTGTTTGCAGTACGATGATACTAAAATCGTATCAGGCCTAAGGGATAACACAATTAAAATCTGGGATAGAAGTACACTACAATGTAATCAGGTAAGAATATATACATAACTAGTTGTGTATGGCATCGTGCCTTAAGTCAAATTGCTGGAACTTTTTGTACCAAAAAAAGAGTGCGCGTAAAGTTCACAAGCGATTGAAGTAAAACTTATGTGCTACTGTACAAGATGGCATTTAAGTAAAAATAAATACATAATATAACAATTTTGAATAATGTTTATTAGTAATATGGTAACACTCGTGTTGCACACATTTATTAGTGTCAATAACCATTATACACATTTATATAATGATCAATTATAAATTATGAATTTATAATACCATTAAAAATATTTATAATGCTTGAAAATAAGAATGTGATAAAAGTCATACTTCAAATATGACATGATCGGTTTGTCATTGTAATTATCATTTAGAAATGAACCTTCATTAGAGAAATGAAGTAATTGCTTATTAATAACTTCTATAATATTCGTTCACACAGTGGATTATGTTAAACAAAGCCTAAACAAATATTGTTTTCGCAACTTCACTCATCATGTATTTGTGTTTGAAGAACTTCATTAATTAAAATTAACATGCATTCATTGACTGCTTGTATTTTGTTTTACTTTTTCGCTGGTGATATAATCTCATTCTTTGAACAGCTATAATATGTTTTGCCTAAAAAATATTTTCCATTTCAATAACTTCAACGATTTATAAAAACGACAAATAATATAGAATTTATTTCAATAAACTTACGTGTAGTACACGGCGCAAATGCTGCATTTGATTTATTATTTTTATTATAATTATTTACGGGGAACAGGGTAAAATATTTTTCTGATTCAGGCATTTTTCATTAAATCAAGATTTGTACTACGATGTAACTTTAAAATGTTTATTTATCTATGCCGATTCCCTTGTTGATATCGGTACGCATACAACGACAGATCTCTATTCACATACACGACGACTAATCACAATCGACCCGTATAGAAATGATATCATCGAATGAGCGAATGACGAATCATTGGCACTCGACTCTTATCTTATCTTATTTGCCGTAACGCACTTCCGTTGCATTTGTACGGATTTACACCCTAGTCGCGTCTAAAGAAGTTTAACATCAATAATTTTTTAAAAAAAGATAAGATAAAGATCAAGATTTTTGAAATTTTTGAAAGAAATTGACATTTTTGAAAAATAAGAATCTGTTTATACTTTGAAATATTTTGAAATATCAAAAAATCTTTAAAAAGTCGATCACGTGATTAATGGACGCCCCCTAAAATGATAATTTATTTATAATATATATTCTATGATTTTTATTCCAGGTTCTGACCGGTCACACTGGTTCAGTATTGTGTCTGCAATACGATGAACGAGTGATAATTTCGGGGTCCAGTGACTCCACAGTTCGTGTTTGGGACGTAGCCACGGGGGCTATGGTCAACACACTTATACATCACTGTGAGGCTGTCTTGCATTTGAGATTTAGTAACGGGATGATGGTCACATGTTCGAAGGTAAGGGAAATAATCATAATTATGATACTTATGATATAAATATGGTATTAGCTTAAATATTAACTATATAATTGTTTTATTTATTCAGGATCGTTCAATAGCCGTATGGGACATGACGACATCTACAGAAATTAGTCTGCGCAGAGTCCTTGTTGGACATCGTGCAGCTGTCAATGTTGTCGATTTTGATGAAAGATATATTGTTTCAGCCAGTGGGGATAGAACTATTAAGGTAATATTTTTATACTTTATATATATATATATATATATATATATATATATATATATATATATATATATATATATATATACAGGGACGTAGCGTGAATTGGCGGGGACCCGTATCAATTTTTTTTTGGGGGGCCCCTCAGGTAGGGAAGAAATTTCTCACATAAAAAATAAAAATTAAAATTATTGCCTTAGGTGCTGAATAAATAAATAAATAAATAAAAATAATAAATAAATAAATTTAATTAATCTTCATTTATCATCAATATTCATTTAGCCCTTTTTCAAAACTTATGCAAACAATACAAATTCAGCATATACATTGGCTCTATTTTTTTATTGAGTTTCTTGATAAAACGAATTTCGATGAACATTATAGATATCTTTGAAAACTTCATCATTTGCGATTGCAACTGGGTAATTTGTATGCAAAAATTACTTTGGGAAAATTGTATGCAAATCTATTGAACTTTGTCAGCAATATAAATAAGTATTGAAGTTCATATTTTAAAAATATTTTTAGAGTGTATCTCTATCATCCCACTGTATCTTACTGTAGTGGTTTGCGAAATGACCCCAGTTGTAATTTTTCGAACATAATAACTGAGGCACAAAGTCTCTGAAATCTATGTTTAGTATGAGAAACTAATTTATTTAATTAGCAAAAGGTTGAGTTTGAAATAAGATTACGGGTGCATTTGCATTTTGCATTTTGTTTTTAAAAACTGTGTTTATGTTCCATTCCTTTGCTAATTTTTCGAGACATTTAGCAAACTGCTAAATTAATTTTGATTTTTTAATTTTCACAATTTATTCAAGAAATGGCTTAATAAAATGTTAGTTTTCTATACTATCACAACCAACCCTATGAAATTATATTTTTATATTCTACACGCTCATGTTTTTTTTACAAATTAAATTTAGTTGGAAGAAAGTTTACATGATTATTTTAGTTTTTGATATTTGTGAAATAAAATCAAAATTTGTAAGTTTCTACTAAATATTGCGCATGTTTGGGGCCTCCGTGGCCCGGTAAAAAAAACTCTTTAAAATAATAATTTTACATAACTCGCGTTCTTTTTTAATGACATTAAATTTGATTGAAGAAAGTTTTCACAATTAATTTGGTTTTTGTGAAGTAATTTTTTTATTATTAATATTTGCTTACGGACGTTGGGGGCCCCCCTGGCTCGGGGGCCCCGTATTTTTGATACGGCGGTAGTTACGGCCCTGTATATATATATATATATATATATATATATATACATATATATATATATAATGAATTTTTTATTACAGGTATGGAATACATCCAGTTGTGAGTTTGTTCGAACACTGAATGGACACAAAAGAGGCATAGCTTGTTTACAATATCGAGATCGAATAGTTGTTAGTGGATCCAGTGATAATACAATAAGGTATGTAATTAATGATTAAACTAGATGTAAGTGGCATTTTGTCTTGAGGCAATTTGTATAACTTCTCTGACATGAGTAACTCCAGGGTTTAAACAATAGAACTGATATTTATAATGTTAGCAATTTTACTAAAATGTAATTGACATCATTTATATTTGACAAACAGAAATTCATTTATTAAATTTATTCATACACTTGTTGACTTTATTTCTTCTTATTAATACCTACTTCCAACTTATAGATTGTATTTGTAATCTGATTGTTTAAACAAACTGTGAATAATTTAAAAAAAACAATGAAAAAAAACTTCAGTTGATATCTTTCAAATAGACTTATAATAACTGTAATTTATTGCTAAAATTCATTAGGGCATAAGTATAAGGATTTTCTGCCAACTGTTTTCTGGATTTTATACATTTCACATATTTCAGATACAGGATTACAATTACTCATTACAGAAAACAATTTTTCCTAATTAAAACTTCTTATGTAACTTCTTAGTCTTAGTCTTCTTTAATTAAAACTTAGTAAAATACAAAGCTAAAACAATATTAAGCCTAATTCTAATATCATTAATTATTATTATTATATGTTACATCTTGGGTAATTTTTTTTTTTTTTTTGCATAGCTTTATTGTCAATCAAAATTTAAATACATTTTTTAAGACAATGTGATGTTGGTGTTAATGCATTTAAGAGATTATCTCCTATGAGATATCTCACTTATTTTTTTTATTTTTATCTTGGGTAATTAATAAATAAAATATATCTATTATCTTTTAGGTTATGGGACATAGAATGTGGGGCCTGCTTGCGAGTTCTGGAGGGTCACGAGGAGCTAGTAAGATGCATAAGATTCGATTCAAAACGCATCGTCTCAGGTGCCTACGATGGAAAAATAAAAGTGTGGGACTTGATGGCTGCCATGGACCCTCGAGCTCCAACATCTTCACTGTGTTTGAGGACATTGGTGGTAAATATAGAAAACTGATTAAAAATTACTCATAAATATATTTCTTTTATCTCAGAGACATATTTATTAATTTATTTATAACAAAGCCTTAATCAATAATAATAATTATTATTTTACAAATTATTTTTATAGACTTTAGATGTTTATTTTATTTATTTCATATTATTCCTTTAGATTTTTATGATCATTCAAAGGTTTTTATAGATTTTTATACACTTTTATAAATATTTATGAATTTTTATGTATTTTTATAGCATTTTTATAGAATTACTATTTATATAGTTTTATAAATTTGAGGAAATTATTACAGAAGTTTACGAATTTCTGTGTACTTCAGTATATTTTTATGTATTTTGTAAGATATTAGAATATTTTTATAAATGTTTATAAATTTTTACAAACGTGCATAGATTTCTATATTTTATAAACTTTTACAAATCTATGTAATTGTGTATAGATCTCTATAGTCTTTTCTATATTTTTATGAACTTTTATAAATTTATATATACATATATTGATTTTTATAGACTTTATTTTTAACCCTCTCACTTATAAATTCAATTTATTCCGTAATCAAGCTCGTATGTCGAATCGCTCGTAACTAGAATAATTAATATAAAATTGAAATGACTAACTATAAAAAAATTATTATCATTAAATAGCCTAAAATATTTATATGGTAGAAAAATCATTGTTACAATGGGAAAATTTTTCGTATTTTTATTTTGCCAAGGACATTTTTGGAGAAAACTTTTACTCGTTTTAAGATCATATCTCGAATTTTGCTCGTATGTCGAAGCAAAAAATCGCTTCAAATTTTCGTAAGTCGGAGCGTCACTTTACTTAAAAATTATATTCAGGTATCCTAAACTAAACAACAGTACCCAAAACCAAAAATAAACTAACAATGAAAAAAATATTTCCGGAAAAGACTGGAAATGTAATCGTTTATTTAGTGATATACCCTCTGGTTTTATCTCTTTTGCACTCTACTTTAAAATAGCAATGTAGGGCGAGGCACAAAGGTCTAATTTGACCAAAACAATTATATCACAACAAATAACACATATCAAACAAGCAACTCTCTCTCTGACTATGTTCAGTGCAAATTCCAGCTACTTCATCATTTTAGAAATGTTTTTTTGCTGTTATTTAAAAATTTATTACGTGGTCCTTTTTACCCACAGGCGGGGTAAAATTGGGATGACCAGGAAACGAACAGGTCCAATGTTTATTTTTAATTTTAAAGGGTTTTCACGAAATAATAGCTACATTATTCAAAATATGCAAAATTTCAAATTCATGGGTACAATTCTTTCAATGATATAACACTGTATATAACCTTGATCTGGTATTTTGTCAGAAACATTCATCATCAGAATTGGAATTTATTCCAATTAAAATTATTTAATTTATCTCTTGTAAAATTGCATTTTTAACCAAATTTACATTTGTATTTACTATTTTTTAGTGTTTACACCTTTGCCAGAGTAAAGGTTCAGTTGGTCCTTTTTAACCCTCCTAGGTCTAAGCTTTTACAGAGGTTGAATAAAAAAAACTGTTAAAACACAATAACCAAAAAATGGTCACGGTTTCACCAAAGCAATTGGTTTGCACTTAAAAGCTTATGTTTTTCAAATTACGTTAGATATGCATTTTTTTTAATTTTCCATGATAATTATGACCATTATTATAACCCTGTCTGGGCTTGACATTGAATTCTGGGACACCCTGTATATAATTATATCAGGTATGGATTAAGGACTTTTAAACCACATTTTAAGTCTTGTATCTATCCATTATCTAATTTAGTATCAACAATACATATTAAAAAATATTTTAAATACTTCTAAATTATATTTATATTTATATTTCTATTTATATTACGGATACAGGATTAAATTTATTAATTACAGAAAATAAATGATCTTAATTGAATTAATTACAGTAAAATACAACTATAAAACAATATTAAGCTTAACATTAGTATTATCTAATACAATAACTTGAAGAACAAAAAATTATAAAATTTAATTAGTTTATTTAAGGCTTGTAGATCTTGAGATTGTTCTTATGGTAAAAAAAATTCTTTAAATATTCGTTATGCAATTTTTATTTGAGTCCAGTTATATCTGGAAAATAATAATTATTAATAAGAGCAGTATCAAAAAAGAATAATAATAATATTAAAATAATTGAAATGATTAAATACTTAGGGTAGAAAAATGTTAAAATAATTTGGAATAAAAATTAGAAAAAGTATGGAAAGTATATTAAGGTCTTGTAAACTAAACAACAGCGCTCACGACCAAAACAAATAACAACGAAAGAAAATATTTTAATTATGGATTTTCAGACTTTGGCGTTTATTTCCTGATAGGAACGTTGTAAGGATCAAGGTGATGGCTGGTTATACATTTTTTGTCCCCTACTTTTAAATATTGGTGGGGATCCCTATGGTTAATTAGATATTGAGCGAACTGTAAATTATAACTAGCTGTAAGTGGAATTCTGTCTTAAGGCAATTAAGGCATCGTGCCTTAAGGCAAATTGCTGGAACTTCCCGTACCAAAAATTATTATTTTTTTTTTAAAAACGATTAACATTTTTGAAAAAAATGTACTTTGAAAAAATAAGATTTTTGAGAAACTATATATATGGACAAAAAATTACTTTTTTTTGAAAAAAAAAATTTTAAAAAAAATTTTTTAATTTTTTTTTTTGAAAAAAAATTTTTTTTTCTTTATTTTGACATATTGTGGAAGATCTGAACTTTTTTTTCAAAGCAATCGTACTGATTTAACTGCATAGGGACAAAATATAAAGCGCGTAAGCGCCGCGTCGCTGTCTAACGCATAAGCATTGGTACGGAACCCATAGGAATGTTAACAAAACGTATACTTATTGTTAAAATCTCTATAAAATATCTGATAATTTGATGTGCATATGTCTAATGATCATTTTTGACCGCCAAATGGCTATTTTTTTTACTTTTTCCTCCATATCTCCGAAACCGCTAGACCTACCTTTATGAAAATTTTATCGATTCTTCATCTTGTCAATACAAGTGAAATGTTTTTTGAATTATTAAAATCGGATGCTCCGTTCTCTTAAAAACTGAGTTACCGTTTTCGGCACTTTTTGCCCCGTATCTTCGGAACGGCTAGACCTGCCTTCGCCAAAAACTAATCAGCATGTCTCCTTATCAATACGAATCGAATGTTTTTTGAATTATTCAAATCGGTTAATCCGTGTTCCCGAAATCGTCGACGAAAATTTGTATCCGCACATACATACACACACGTACATACATACACACACACATACACACACACACACACACACACATACATCCATTTTTCTAAGGTATGCCAAAATGTTCAGAAACCTCTGAAACGTAAAGATATATAAAAATTTTCATTTTCGATTTTTTTGCGATTACTATAACTTGCCCTACGGGAAGTTAAATATTGCGTCACCATAAGATATGTGAATAAAACCATTATTTAGGTTCCGATATATATTGATCTTCACTCTACAACCTCCTCCTCTCGTTACTTTTGCTAGTCTCTCAGTTATTGTAAGTTATAGGTATTTATATTCATACATTTATACCCCTAGAAAAAGGCCTGGTTAAATCTTGACCAAATGTTGTAAATTTTTTTTAACTTTGTTTTTGAGATATCTGTGGTGGACCCCTTTATCATTTATCACTATCCATCAAATTTTTTTCCCTATGAGTGAGTTGTTTATTGTTTTATCGTCAGGAGCACACGGGACGAGTGTTCAGACTGCAGTTCGACGAATTCCAAATTGTGAGCTCCTCCCACGACGACACCATCCTGATCTGGGACTTCCTGAACTACGCCCCGCCCGACGGCACCCCCAAACAGGGCACCTCCAATTCGTCCGCCAATAACACTCCGAACATTGCCGAAGTGAACCGGAGCCCCTCGAGGGACCTGGCCGAAGATAATGATTACTTGTGAAATTTATAAGACTGTGACAAAAAAAGTGTCGAGTGGAGTGGAGTGGAGTTACAAGTACAAGAGATTAATTTTTATTGTCGGGACTACTTTTGTGAGTACTTAATAATAATTATAAATGTAAATAAGTGATAGTTTTTGAACGACTAGTAGGAGATATTTATAAAAGAAGTGATAAGTACTTAATTGTATATATTTAAATTAAAGGACCGAGAACTGTGTTCTGCTTATTGTGTATATATCGCGTTAGAGGGAGCGCCGAATCAACTCGAAATCAAGATGTGAAATTTGAATGAAAATGAAATGTAAAAAATATATATATTGATTAATGTCGACATAGAATATTCTAATTTTTAGACTTTGGGGCAAATTCTGCGATAACCTAAAAATGTTACGGTAAAGCTATGTTACGGGTCTATATTCATATAAATTGCTAGTAAAAACTGTCAAAATTTGCCTGGCACATTTGCTGTGCCATCAGGTGTTTCACACATAAAAGCTAACTTCACACATGTGTTATCAGAGTTGCACTCATGATAAAATTGTTTGTTCGTTTTGGAGGTTAGGTTTTATGTGTAAAAAAATAGTTTTTAAACAGTTAGTACTAGTTTATACGAAGATAGACCCGTAACACAGTACAGTAGTAGTCCTTTAGCCCGGGATCGAAAATTCCGGATTATCGAGCGGCAATTACAAAAAGATTAAAAAATGTACTTCAAAATCAGTAGGATATACAAACAATATTTCTTTCTAACATTTACTAGAATATATATGTTCAAAATACTTTTAAATTTTTACCAAAACACATTTTTATTTTCCATAAAATTTTATAGTGTTACGTGTTTTCATGTCCTTTAAGGATTAAGTTTTGAAAACATGGTCACTGCACGGTTAAGTGTTTAAAATACTGATATATCCTTTGTAGAACGTAAGGCCTACGCATATCGTAGAACGTACTTTGGTCATGAATCTGGACACAACGGATTTTAGCATGGACACAACCATTACCGAACAATAGCGAGTCTTTCAGAACAATTCCCAAAATGCTCTAATAACTCTCAGATTTTAACTTGCTATATTGCATATTTAAAAATAAACAAAATTTTTGAAAAAATCCCGGACCATTGTGCATTCCGGAGTGTTGGGAGCCGACTAAAGGACTTCTTCTGTGACAAACTTGCTGTGGCGATCAGGCGTTTCACACATAAAAGCTAACTTCACACATGTGTTATCAAAGTAGCAC